GACGGCGCATTACCATCTGAGTAGGGGCAGAGTGAGTAGTGTTGGAGGAGAGCGAGAGAGAAAAGGATACAAAGTAGTGGTCGGAGACATGGAGGGGAGTTGCAGTGAGATTAGCAGAAGAACAGCATCTAGTAAAGATGAGGTCAAGCGTATTGCCTGCCTTGTGAGTAGGGGGGGACGGTGAGAGGGTGAGGTCAAAAGAGGAGAGGAGTGGAAAGAAGGAGGCAGAGAGAAATGAGTCAAAGGTAGACGTAGGGAGGTTGAAGTCCCCCAGAACTGTGAGGGGTGAGCCATCCTCAGGAAAGGAACTTATCAAGGCATCAAGCTCATTGATGAACTCTCCAAGGGAACCTGGAGGGCGATAGATGACAAGGATATTAAGCTTAAATGGGCTAGTGACTGTGACAGCATGGAATTCAAATGAGGAGATAGACAGATGGGTCAGGGGAAAAATAGAGAAAGTCCACTTGGGAGAGATGAGGATTCCTGTGCCACCACCCCGCTGACCAGATGCTCTCGGGGTATGCGAGAACACATGGTCAGACGAGGAGAGAGCAGTAGGAGTAGCAGTGTTCTCAGTGGTAATCCATGTTTCCGTCAGCGCCAAGAAGTCGAGGGACTGGAGGGTAGCATAGGCTGAGATGAACTCTGCCTTGTTGGCAGCAGAACGGCAGTTCCAGAGGCTGCCTGAGACCTGGAACTCCACGTGGGTGGTGCGTGCAGGGACCACCAGGTTAGAGAGGCAGCAGCCACGCGGTGTGAGGCGTTTGTATAGCCTGTGCGGAGAGGAGAGAACAGGGATAGACAGAGGCATAGTTGACAGGCTGCAGAAAATGGCTCGGAATGAAATGAACTAAACATCTGGGAAAGGAGAGAGCGGGGCCTCCCTCACCACAACACCCAAATATAACTCTCCCAACTTCCACCTCAGAAACTATAATTGTTGTAAACTACAGCGGTTCAATGTTTTCTAGGAATAGACTAACTTAGTTTATTCAGCTAGCTGACTAGGTACAGTATTCTTCCGTGAAAATCGTCCAGGGCACCTAGTCATAAGATGCCGCAGCCAGCTAGCATGCCGGACTCCAACAACACGGTTTAGCACCAATACTCGGCCACAACAAACCACCAGTGTGTCAGCACGCCAAGCAGATCGTTCGTGTCCGTGTCTAATGTTGTGGGTTAGTCCCGACAGCTTGAGCGAGTCCGTCGTCAACTTATTCAGCCAGTTAGTTAGCTAGAATAGTTAGCATACTAGCTAGCCATTGTTTTCAGACAAAGAAGAAACCCCTCCTTTCACGGCACGAACACACAGAGAGCCAAACTAACGTTATCTAGTCACCCATGTCCCGAATTCGTTGAACGACTATGGCTACCAAAAAACACAAATGTATGTTATGACTTACCCCTAGCAGCTACTGTTAGCTAGCCAAGTGCAAAGCTAGCCACTGAATTGACTCAGCCAGTTCGCGTCTGTTCGCGAGGTCGTTCCAGCTATTGTTTACTAGTTGCTATCCAGGTAGCAACAAGCTAGCTAAATTTCAAGCACAGTAGCCACTTACTACCTAGCGTTAACGGTTCAGACAATGAGGTTAGAAAACAGCTGAATGGTAGGCAATTATTGTATGTAACTATTGTAGGCAGCCAGCTGGCGTAATTACAGGCACTCTCAGGCGTAAAACAACTATACCGTTGCTAATAGTTGCCAGTAGCTATCCGCCAGCTAGTCCAGGTGGTGGTTTAGCCAGCTAGCTTCGTGCTACGCCGGGCTCAGCCGAATACAATACTAACCTACAATAATTACATACAACAACCCAAGATAACTACCTACAATACCTAACTACAATCTAAATACATAGTTTTAGCCTTACTCGACAAAGCCCAAACTATGTATAAAGCCAAGCTTACCCGACGACCTCACCCGACGATGACCAATCTCCACCGAATAAAAGGGGAAGCAAAATAGTGATTACTTTGCAACACTTGCAGTTAGCCACTGATTCCTTCCAAACCACTCATTGTTGAATTTGCGATTTCCAACTTGTTGTGTAATGTTTATGTCCAATGGCCGATGAGCACCGATACGTTTTATCTATAATTTCTCTTCATATGACAAGGATTGAAAAGGATTTGCCAGTAGATTGCCAACGTGATTCATGATGACGACTGCTTGTCTCGTTTGCTAGTTAAGATTTTGAAAGTATGATGTTGACATGATCTGTCCAAACAAAGGTACCGTAGATATAACGTGATTTGACGTCATTTTATCTGTGGCCAATGACCTTGAGCCTTCTTGGATGGGCACTTCTAACGTAAATCTATGGCAGTATCCAAGGGGGCTTGAACTTTCTAGCTCTGCCTGTATGTTTTGCAGTGACATATTGTCCCTATGAGTGGCAGAACACTGAGCCAATCACGGCACAACTAGAGAAGATTACCAACCCCTACACTCTGTATTTTCCGCTGGCTGCCCCTCCACCACAGAAAGCAATGAGGTAGGCTGAAACACCTGCATTTTGGAGCTTCCTTACCCAAGAAAGCAAAAAAGAGACCATGTTTGTATTTAGCTTTATTGACTCAATACATTTTTTTTTACATTGTTTGCACACTGATATGTGACAAATATGAATGCCAAAATAACATGCATTACAGGCAAAAAAAATATACGATTTTGATGATTTATTATAGATTTTTTTTGCTAAAGAAAAACAGAATGATGGGTCGCCACTGCCCTAAACCCTAGCTTCATATTCCCTACCCAGATCAACCCTAACAATAACCCTAGCTTCATGTCCAGATCAATTATTAATTTCAAACTTTTTTCTTCATAATGCAGTATAACAAGAATGAAATGGTATTGTTAAAAATAAATGAATGCATCAATCCTACGATGTACATTAAACAAGGATTCCATGGTACACACAGAAACAAGGTTGGTTGTTCACCACCCCCTGTCTTTGGCAGTAGGTGGAGCTTCAACATTTTCGCCAATCAGCAAGACTGAAAGATTGTTGCAGAGAGAGATATTCAACTCTGCCTGTTCTGTGTCAGAGTCTTTTTGATACTGTGTCTATCAGCTATGTTGCAGCTTTCATCATTTCTCCTCCTCTCAGTCCTTGTTGGTGAGTGCTGTATTCAATTTGAAAAGTTTTAATTCCAACTCCAGAATATACACTACCGGTCAAAAGTTTTAGAACACCTACTCATTCAAGGGTTTTTCTTTATTTTTTTACTATTTTCTACATTGTAGAATAATAGTGAAGACATCAAAACTATGAAATAACACACATGTAATCATGTAGTAACCAAAAAAGTGTTAAACAAAACTAAATATATATTTTATATTTGAGATTCTTCAAATAGCCACCCTTGGTCTTGATAACAGCGTTACACACTCTTAGCATTCTCTCAACCAGCTTCACCTGGAATGCTTTTCCAACAGTCTTGAAGGAGTTTCCACATATGCTGAGCACTTGTTGGCTGCTTGTCCTGTCCCTCGCACCAAGCCAGTGGTGCGCGTCGCCAGCCCGGTCCGGCCTGTTCCTGCTCCTCGCACCAAGCCAGTGGTGCGTGTGTCCAGTCCGGCACGGCCCGTGCCTGTCCCACCGGTGCCTGGTCCTGCTCCGGTCAGCTGCTCCACTCCGGAGTCAGAGCAATCCGCTCCACCGGGGTCCAGTCCAGATCCAGTCAGCGGTTCCAGTCCAGACCCAGACGTCAGCCCCTCTCCAGGTTCGGGTTCTCCCACACCAGGGTCCAGACAGGGCTTGGTACGTCGTGGGAGGAAGGAGAGGGGAAGCAGCGCGCCGAGGTCCAGACCAGACCAGGGGCGAAACAGGGAGGTGGAGAGTAAGTGGTGGTCACGCCCGGATCCGGATCCGCCTCCGAGGCGGAATACCCACCCGGCCCCTACCCTGTTATGTTTATGTGGCGCGGTCGGAGTCCGCACCTATGCTGAGCACTTGTTGGCTGCTTTTCCTTCTCTCTGCGGTCCGATTCATCCCAAACCATCTCAAGTTGGTTGAGGTCGGGGGACTGTGGAGGCCAGGTCATCTGATGCAGCACTCCATATGTGTGCCTTGAACTCTAAATAAATCACAGACAGTGTCACCAGCAAAACACCCCCACACCATAACACCTCCTCCTCCATGCTTTACGGTGGGAAATACACATGCGGAGATCATCCGTTCACCCACACCTCGTCTCACAAAGACTGGCCAAATGTCCATTGCTCGTGTTTCTTGGCCCAAGCAAGTCTCTTCTTATTATTGGTGTCCTTTAGCAGTGGTTGCTTTGCAGCAATTCGACCATGAAGGCCTGATTGACACGGTCCACTCTGAACATTTGATGTTGAGACGTGTCTGTTACTTGAACTCTGTGAAGCATTTATTTGGGCTGCAATTTCTGAGGCTGGTAACTCTAATGAACTTATCCTCTGCAGCAGTGGTAAGTCTTCCATTCCTGTGGCGGTCCTCATGAGAGCCAGTTTCATCATAGCGCTTGATGGTTTTTGCGACTTCACTTGAATAAATGTTCCAGATTGACTGACCTTCATGTCTTAAAGTGGACTGTTTTTACCAAATAGGGCTATCTTCTGTATACCCACCCTACCTTGACACAACACAACTGATTGGCTCAAACTCATTAAGAAGGAAAGAAATTCCACAAATTAACTTTTAAGAAGGCACACCTGTTAATTGAAATGCATTCCAGGTGAGTACCTCATGAAGCTTGTTGAGAGAATGCCAAGAGTGTTGTTTAACACTTCTTGGGTTACTACATGATTCCAGATGTGTTATTTCATAGTTTTGATGTCTTCATTATTATTGTACAATGTAGGAAATAGTAAAAATAAAGAAAAACCCTTGAATGAGTAGGTGTTTTAAAACTTTTGACCGGTAGTGTATATTGATAGTTGTCAAAAAAGCTTATAAAAATAGCAACATGTTTTTCCTCTTCTGACAGGTGGTAGTTTTGAAGATGACATTAATCCCACTAGGTCTATGGTAGATGGTGTGGAGGGTGATTCCATCACACTATCCTGCAGCTACACTGGCTCTGTAAACAATCTACAGTGGCATCATCAGTATCCTAGATGTAAACCAGAGTTTACATATCTGGATATGTCCCTTCTTGCATGTCAGCTCAGGTTCATACCAACAGTGTGGATCTGGAGTGATCCTCTGCTGAAGAGTCTGCTCGTCCTTGCTCGACTTCTTTCATTCAACTTTTTCTCCCCGGATGGTTTATCTGGACATGGTTCTACAGGACCTCCACCAGCCAAAAAAGCTAAGTAGTAACAGTAACTTTATGCCCTCTAATTGCAGTCGCTGTACTCATAAAATGCAGGAGAACAATCGTCTTATGGGGAGGATAACCGAGTTGCAATCCCAGCTTCAGACGCAATCATTAGGCAAGGGCAGTTTAAGTGTAGGAAAGGATGAAACAGCATCTGTGCCACCAGTAAGTTCAGATAGTAGTATTAATCCCCCTGCACAGTCCCAACAATTTTCGCTGGTTGAAAACTGTTTTCTGCTCCTCCCAAAACATGGAATTTGTAGATAATTGGCCCTCTTTCTGGGACTCACCCACAAACAGGACCAAGCCTTGCCTGCTGGAGGGGTACTTTCATTTGATCTATCAACATAGACAGGGCACCAACTCCTCTAGCTCCACAATGAGATAGGGTGCATGCCAGGCAGCAGGCTGTTAGCCAGCCTGCCAGCATAGTGGTGTCTGTCGCTAGCACAGTTAGTGTAGCCAGCTTAGTTTACCACATTCAGACCGTGGCTGTGCCTCAATCTAGATCGGGAAAATCTAAACATAGCGGTGTTCGCCTTAGCAATCTCAATGGAATAAAGACCTCCTTCATCCCTGTCATGTTTGAAAGAGACTGTGATAATACCTAGGACTACTTAATGTTAGATCCCTCACTTCCAAGGCAGTCATAGTCAATTAACTAAACATCGCTTAAGCCTGATGAATTTACTGAGTTAATGAGGCCTCTCCTCCTGGTTACACTAGTGACCATATCCCCCACACATCTCGCAAAGGCATTTTTGAAAGCAAATTTCAATTTATATAAATAAAATACCTGCTTTTTCATCTTTGAGGTGCTAGTCATGAAATCTATTCAGCCTACCCAAGCACTTTTTTATAGCTACTGTTTACAGGCCTCCTGGGCCGTATACAGCATTCCTCACTGAGTTCCCTGAATTCCTATCGGACCTTGTAGTCATGGCAGATAATATTCACATTTTTGGTGACTTCAATATTCACATGTAGAAGTCCACAGACCCACTCCAAAAGGCTTTCGGAGCCATCATCGACTCAGTGGATTTTATCCAACATGTCTCGGAACCTATGCATTGCCACAATCATACCCTGGATCTAGTTTTGTCCCATGGAATAGATATTGTAGCTCTAAATGTTTTTCCTCATAATTCTGGACTATCCGACCACCATCTTATTACGTTTGCAATCGCAACAAATAATTTGCTTAGACCCCAACCAAGGATTATCAAAAGCCGCGTATTAAATTATCTGACAACCCAAAGATTCCTTGATGCCCTTCCAGACTCCCTCCACCTACCCAAGGTCGTCGGAGTATAAAAATCAGTTAACCACCTAACCATGGATCTAAACTAACCTTGCATAATACCGCTAAAAACAACAACACAAAATTTCACAAGAAACTAGCTCCCTGGTGCACAGAAAATACCTGATCCCTGAAGCAAACTTCCAGAAAATTGGAAAAATGTTGGTACTCATCCCTAGTCCACCTGGTCGTGCTGCTGACACAGTTTCTGCTGTTCTGCCTGCGGCTATGGAACCCTGACCTGTTCAGAGCCTGGTTCTTCTCTAGATTACTTCCTAGGTTCCTGCATTTCTAGGGAGTTTTTCCTAGCAACTGTGCCTCTACTTCTGCAATACTCGCTCTCTGGGCTTATAGGCTCGGTTTCTGTATGAGCACTTTGTGACAACTGTTGTTGTAAAAAGGGCTATATAAATAAATGTGATTGATTGATTGATTGATTTATACTAATGTGCCCTGGAGTCCACTGTGACAGGAAACACAACTTCGTCATACAAAAAGAAGCCAGACTGACACACATGTAGGAATGAACTTTATCCTTATCAAGAGTGATAAAATATTACACAATTCTTATTATAAGGTTTATTTGCAGATTGTACATATGGTATAGCATGGCATAATACTGTAGATCTATTAAAAAATAAATAACAATAATAACAACAAAAAACAAACAAACAAATAAACAATATCATTCCCTAGACATTCCCAGATAGAAATGAAGTCTAAAATTATCTGAGGAGGAGGCCAATAGGAACTGAAAACCCTTTACCAAAAATCACAGAAGAAGAATTACATATCCGGTTATCAGAGGAGGGGCCTCATAGTCAAACACTGGTATAGGCTAGGTATACCTGCAACCATGAGGATGTCTCTGTAGAGGATCTACTCAGCTCTCTCACTGTCTTATCTCTCAGTTGGTTTATCTAGTCTGTGTCAGGATGTCCCTCATATTACTGTTGCTCCTCTCTGTGTTTGTAGGTGAGTGCTGAATTCTCATCTTCAACCAAATAACATTTTGAAAACTAAATGGTAGTAATACTTAAAAGTTTATATAACATGTCTTTTACGTGATAGGGGTATCTAATCCAGATATTTTCCATTGACCATTCAACTTAATTAGGAATTAACATTAACACAATGACAATACTCATGTTGTTGCAGGTGATAGTATGGAGCAGGAAACAATAATTCCAGTGAAGCCTGAAGTCAATGCTCTCCAAGGAACAGACATCACTCTCTCCTGCAACTACAAGGGCAACGTTAACAATCTCCAACGGTACTGTCAATACCCCGGATCTAGACCAGAATGTCTTCTTTTGATCCTACAGAGCAACATGTACAGTTGAAGTCGGACGTTTACATACACCTTAGCCAAATACATATAAACTCAGTTTTTCACAATTCCTGACATTTAATCCTAGTAAAAATTCCCTGTCTTAGGTCAGTTAGGATCACCACTTTATTTTAAGAATGTGAAATGTATTTATTTCTTTCATCACATTCCTAGTGGGTCAGAAGTTTACATACACTCAATTAGTATTTGGTAGCATTGCCTTTAAATTGTTTAACTTGGGTCAAACGTTTCGGGTAGCCTTCCACAAGCTTCGCACAATAAGTTGGGTGAATTTTGGCCCATTCCTCCTGACAGAGCTGGTGTAACTGAGTCAGGTTTGTAGGCCTCCTTGCTCGCACACGATGTTTCAGTTCTGCCCACACATTTTCTATAGGATTGAGGTCAGGGCTTTGTGATGGCCACTCCAATACCTTGACTTTGTTGTACTTAAGCCATTTTGCCACAACTTTGGAAGTATGCTTGGGGTCATTGTCTATTTGGAAGACCAATTTGCGACCAAGCTTTAACTTCACGACTGATGTCTTGAGATGTTGCTTCAATATATCCACATAATTTTCCTTCCTCATGATACCATCTTTTTTGTGAAGTGCACCAGTCCCTCCTGCAGCAAAGCACCCCCACAGCATGATGCTGCCACTCCCGTGCTTCACGGTTGGGATGGTGTTCTTCGGCATGCAAGCGTGCCCCCTTTTATCTCCAAACATAACGATGGTCATCAGACCAGAGGACATTTCTCCAAAAAGTACGTTCTTTGTGCAGTTGCAAACCGTAGTCTGGCTTTATTATGGCGGTTTTGGAGCAGTGGCTTCTTCCTTGCTGAGCGACCTTTCAGGTTATGACGATATAGGACTCGTTTTACTGTGGATACTTTTGTACCTGTTTCCTCCAGCATCTTCACAAGGTCCTTTGCTGTTGTTCTGGGATTGATTTGCACTTTTCGCACCAAATAACGTTCCTCTCTAGGAGACAGAACGCGTCTCCTTCATGAGCGGTTTGACGGCTGCGTGGGCCCATGGTGTTTAAACTTGCGTACTATTGTTTGTACAGATGAACGTGGTACCTTCAGGCATTTGAGAATTGCTCCCAAGGTTGAACCAGACTTGTGGAAGTCTACAATTTTTTTCTGAGGTCTTGGCTGATTTCTTCAGATTTTCCCATGATTTCAAGCAAAGAGGCACTGAGTTTGAAGGTAGACCTTGAAATACATCCACAGGTACACCTCCAATTGACTCAAATGATGTCAATTAGCCTATCAGAAGCTTCTATAGCCATGCCATCATTTTCTGGAATTTCCCAAGCTGTTTAAAGGCACAATGAACTTAGTGTATGTAAACTTCTGACCCACTGGAATTGTGATACAGTGAATTATATTTGAAATCATCTGTCTGTAAACAATTGTTGGAAAAATTGCTTGTGTCATGCACAAAGTAGATGTCCTAACCGACTTGCCAAAACTATAGTTTGTTAACAAGAAATTTGTGGAGTGGTTGAAAAATGAGTTTTAATGACTCCAACCTAAGTGTATGTAAACTTCCGACTTCAACTGTATGTACAGAATATATCCATTGTAACTCCACGACACACTGGTAGACTGAATGAAGAGAAGACCTGTGTTGTTTCAGGAACAATTAAATGTATGTGTTTTAAACCATTCTCTATGCAGGTGTCAGTTGTGAGGACCTCACTCCACTCAAGAAAGAAGAGTATTGTTTAGAGGGAACCCCTGTTACCCTGTCTTACAACTACTCGAGAACAGCTACTGGTGGAGGTGAATTCTATTGGTATCACCAAGACACAGCACAAAGGCCAACGTTCCTCCTGTACATCTCATGTTCAGAGTTTATAAAGAAAGTAGATCTTCTGAAAACTCGAATATCTGTCAAACTGAATAAAGAGAAAAAACATTTGGATCTGGAGATCTCCTCTGCTGAAGTGACAGACTCTGCTCTGTACTACTGTGCTGTGATAACCACGGTGACAGGAAAATTCCTTCAATTTGATGTGTATTCATATTCTGCTACAGTCAAGCCTCTTAACCACATCATATACATACAATATGCATGGTTTATATAACATCATTGCTCTCAACATTTAAATGCGGTCAGCAAAGTGTAAGTCGACTATAAAGGGTTTTCTTTATATTTACCCACATACAGACGTTTCTGCAACTCCTGGCTGATCTTCAGGTGAGGTACCTTCTTATCTTACATGTGCTACCCACTACACCTTCTGAAGGATGGATAATCAGGCCCAAGTGAGCCACGTGGCTCGTCCACCTCTTCTCACTCTTCAGCCACAACCACTGAGATGTTCTCTCTGCCTCCTGATCAGTTATATGATAGATCTTATTTGTCTGTGATCCTCCTGTTATAAAGTATTTGACTGCCCTCCACAGTTATGAAGTCCAGTGACAAGGTTTTTCTATGTATAATAATGATACAATAGTTCCATCTAGTGTTCAACATTCTGCCCAACAAGGTGAAACCTTGACATTGCTTGTATTTTCAATGGTAAGTTACTAGTGAGAGTCAATAAGTGTCAGTGGAGTCTCATCAGTTTGCTTCTATCCTTTAAGCTAGAAATATCTGTTTTTTTGCAAGGGCTGCTTCTCAATCCACCGCATCAGCCTATGGCAGTCTTCCGCAACTGCGCTGGAAGGTGGCCGACCTACAGTAGTGTTTGTCGAACCATGAGACATCCTGAAAATCGTCTTCTCTCAAAAACGTCTGTAGCGTCTGAATGGTTTGGCCTAGAAAACTAATTTGACCACTCTATGGAAAGATGAGACTCTCTCGAATACGATGGTGGTCTCTCGTCTGAAGTCGGTACCGTCGATGTGCCAACTTCTGGTTGTAGCGTACGAAACGTTTGGGCTACAAACTAATGTGACACCACAGTGGAGAATTTAAGGGGTTAAATATGTGCACCCGAAAAATATATATATATTTCCTGAGCTTTCTTATATCTCCTAGATATAGAACAGACACTTAAAACCTTATTCCGTATGATTTATTTTTTGAATGTCATTTTTTGCCTTTTATTAATGTGTTATTCAATGCGTTTCTATGGGATTTGGTAGTAAGACCAAATTCAATATTTTATCAAATCATTTTGTTATATATTTTTTAATACGCAAAGGGGTCCTAAAATACCAAATCAAATAGCTAAATGATCCATCGGATGACCATTTTAAAACAATTCAATATGTCAATTTATAATCCCCCCCCCCAACCTCTTAGAATGAAATGATGCATGCAGCATGCCAACACAGGTGTCGGTGTGGTATAATTTCTCAAAATAATTAGCATATCAAACTAAATCCACCTGAGAAGGGCAGCATTTCACAGGAAATCCTTCTAGCCATTCAAATTAATTGAATATACAATAAGCTCCTCCCCTACTGCAGAGCCCCACAATTTTGAGACTTCTCAGCTACAGTGTATGGAACTTAAAGACTACAACAGTCTATTCTTCCTCTATACATGAATCATAATGGAAGATTGGCTTAGGAATACTTTACTTATCCTGGCTGCATGCTATTTTGGTACAGTATAGTGCTTCTCCTTTCTACATTCTCATTCTCTGAATCTTAACCTATTAATTGCGAAAAAAAAAAAAAAAAAAGCTGGCTGTTGACCAGCAGAGTGGACATGTTACTGCCCTTGAAGGAGGACTGGTAACACTCAGCTGTAACTACACTACCAGTAGTCCATCTCCTGATCTCTTCTGGTACATCCAGTTAACTAGGGACTCTCCTCAGCATGTCCTGAGAAGAGATCATTATTCAGAAGGGAGCAATAGTGATGACTTACATTTACATTTTAGTCATTTAGCAGACGCTCTTATCCAGAGCAACTTACAGTTAGTGAGTGCATACATTTTTTGGGGGGCACCGGTGGAGCGGACTGCTCTGTCTCCGGAATGGAGCCGCTTACCGGAGCTGGATCAGGCGCCGATGGAGCAGATTGCTCTGGCTCCGGAGTAGAACCTCTGACCGAAGCTGGACTGGGCACTGGTGGAGCGGACTGCTCTGCCTCCGGAATGGAGGCACTGACCGGAGCTGGATCAGGCACCGGTGGAGCAGATTGCTCTGGCTCCGGAGTGGATCCGCTGACCGGAGCTGGACTGGGCACCGGTGGAGCGGATTGCTCTGGCTCCGGAGTGGAGCAAACTTCTGGACCCATATCCATCCCCATCTCTGGAGCAGGACTAAACGCCGTGCCCAGCCTGGGCACCGATGCAGAGGAAAATTCCAGCCCTGTAATAGGACTGGTTGCCGGCCCCAGACTGGGCACCGACCCGTTTAGGAGCTCCCTGCAGGGGACCGTCGCTGTAGGTCGGGTGAGTTGTGTGGTTGGAGGAGGTGTAGAAACGCCACCTCTCTCCGATCGCTCCAATGTACTCACCATGCGCACCATTGCGCTGCTGAGCGCCTGGATCCTGCTCGCCTGCCATTGGATACGTTCCTCCCAAGATTCGGACGGACCGACTGTACCTGCTGACTCCATTTTAGGTGCGTGTTTCTGTCCTGGAATGGGCCGTGCCGGACTGGGAACACGCACCACTGGCTTGGTGCGGGGAGCAGGCACTGGCCGTGCTGGACTGGGAACACGCGCCACTGGCTTGGTGCGAGGAGCAGGCACGGGCCGTGCCGGACTGGGAACATGCACCACTGGCTTGGTGCGAGAAACAGGCACGGGGCGTACCGGGCTGGGAACTGGCATTGAATCTGTACGACTGTTCCAGTCCTTCTCTCTCCGCGCCCAATCCTCCTCCAGTGAGGACTCCTCCGGGAGCCCCCACGAGTTAGGGAGCAGAAACTCATCATCGTCGTCATCCTCCGACTCCCCAGTGTAAAACTGTTCCCATTCCTGTTCCCATGGTCGTAGGCAGTGGCGGCTCCTGAAATTTTTTTCAGGAGGGGCAATTTTTCTGATGATTTAGGTGACCTACACACATTTTAAAAAAGATATGTCCAGCAACAACATGAAGACAGGGGCAGCATATAAGTCAATACCAGAAGCATTTATTGACTGATCTGGGGAGATGGATTCCAGTTTCTGTGACAGATTATAAATAATCTCTGATGCCTTTGTTATATTAGCTTTTGGTTGAATGTACTGTCGTAGTAAATATATAATGTTATAGCTTGGTCTGACTAAAATCTTGTGCATGACCCATTTTGTGTTGGGCGTTTGTTTTCAATCAATGCTGTTCCTATCCTATAACAATGGACAAAAGAGTCCTATCTTGTCAGCCTTGTCAGCAGGTGGCCAAGGACAACACCCACGCCATAGGTCTCTCAGTTCTTCCAACTCACGAGTTCTTGCTCTGAGGACACACACACACACACACACACATCATCACTGATAACACACACACACACACACATCATCACTGTTAAACACACACATCATCACTGTTAAACACACACACACACACACACAAAAATCCCCTCTCTTTAGGCTGAACATTTGAAGACAGAGAACCCGACTCAGAGCCAATGCAACAGTGGAGGGGACCTCGCCCAACTCATCAGGACCAATCAGAAGATCAGAACTACTAGATTCAACCTACATCATTTATTGTATAAAATGTCAGCACACAATGTTTTCGGGGCTCTCTTCAGATAGCTCCCTAAGAGTTTGACGAACGAGTCTGTGCACGCGATTCCAGATATCTTTACCTCTGAATAAACTGCCTTTATTATACCATATCCACCCTGTCCAAAGTCTCTACTTGGTCTCAGTTCTCCAGTAAACTTGTGATTATCAACAGTACACAACGGTAACAAACAATTGGGGGAACTCACGGGGCAGATAGTAAGGTCGCAGTGACACAGAAAGCAGTTCAATGTCGGGGCTCGGGGGTACAGAGTCGCTCTCTTACCAGGATCGATTTTCCCTGTGACTGTCAGATCGAGGTCCGCTCCGACCAGGGTGAGGCCGGCCGGCTCCACTTCTCTGTCCGGGACTCTGTCATCCAGCCAAGTCTCCCAGCTGTATTGGATTCCGCTGCCAGCAACGTTTTCATTATTTAGTCCGTTCATAGCGGGTATGTACACGATCAACAAGATCAGTCCAAAACCCACCACTGGAAATCCATGGTTGGCAGAATGTTTGTAAACTAAGTGTACAAATTAAAAACATAAAATAACGCCACTAAGTGTACAAATTAAAAACATAAAATAACGCCACATTGCAGGTCGCAACAGAGACGCTGCTAGCCGCTATTTGCTTAGTTACGTTCATGGTTACGTCACGTATGACGAAAGCGCGTAAGTGCAAGCCCACAGACACCCATAGAGAATGTATTGAAAGCTTTGAAATTTGAAAAAAATAGATTTTACATGACAGGCTATGAGAGACTTCTGGGCAATTTTCAACCTGACTGAAATCGCCCAAAAACGGGCGGGGCCATTTGAAGCACGACTTTAGCCTGATTTGACATTTAGTGGCAGTCAGATCAGATTACAACACTGATAACTACTGTTGCCGTGATATAATTGATTAGAAAAAAAATCCCTTCCTTTTCCCGTTTGGCAGTGCGTCGCCCATATCGCCCTATTGAACAGGCCGTCCCTGGTCGTAGGGACTCCAACTGGAACCCCACCGGGTGCAGTGGTCGGGGCTCTTCTCTCTCAATCCGCAGGTCTTGGAGGACCTCTAAAATAGCGTCCTTCTCCTCTCTAGTCAGCCCTTTCCCGGCCTCCTGCTGCCTCGTCGTCCACCCTGTGAGCCCCCCCTCGACATTTTCTTGGGGCTGCTTCTTGGGCTTCCTCTTCTGACGGCTTCGTTGATGTCGCCGTTGATCCTCTCTAACCCGGGCTTCCTCTGTCTGTTCCCAAGGACGGCGATCCATCCCAGCCTGGATCTCCTCCCGTGTCCAAGATCCCTTACCATCCAGGATCTCCTTCCATGTCCAGGATGTCTGCTCCTGGCCATGCTGCTTGGTCCTCGTTTGGTGGGATCTTCTGTCACGATTGTTGATAGACGGGTCAGACCAAGGTGCAGCGTGGTATGCGAACATGTTTATTAAACTCAATAAACATAAATAAAACAAGAAACAACGTAACGTGAAGTCATCAGGCTATACACATACAAGCCTAAACACGGAACAAGATCCCACAACTAAGGTAGGCAAACAGGCTACTAAAGTGTGATCCCCAATCAGAGACAACGAGCGACAGCTGCCTCTGATTGGGAATCACACCCGGCCAAACCTAGAAGTACACATCTAGAATCTAAACAGAAATAATAACATAGATCCTCACGCCCTGACCAAACCAACTAAAGACAACCGGCCTCTCAAGGCCAGGGCGTGACACTCCTCCACAAAATTCACACTGCTTGGTGGTGTAGTATGACAGTCAACCTGAAGGGGGCAACCTAACAAAGCACACATCCCTGTATCAGAGGACGACATACAGACAGACACTTCCCCATGGTCTACTACTGCATGTAATACAGAACAACATGAAGCATCAACAGTAGGACAGAGGGTGTCAAAGCTCTGTGATAGATAGATCAGCATTGTTCTGCTCCTTGTCCATAGAAACATACACTACCAATGAAAAGTTGGATCAAAGCACAATATGTATTTCAATATACTTTATGTACAGTAGTAGACCTGAATTAGATACTATGTAGACTACACAAGTGTTTGTACCTGAATTATAATAGAATATGTGTACGCTTTCACAAAAAAAAAGTCTGATAAATAAATCATACTCACTTCGTAAAACATTTAAGTCATTGTCAATTCCTTCAGGCTGATTTCCATATCATGTGAGCTAGATGTGTAGGCTTTACATTTTGTCTACTGTACTGCAAATAGTGCTAATATAATACTGACGAGGTAATATTGACCCATACATTTCTTTACAATCTTTCCTCTCTCTGAACAGGCTCCTCCTTCATGTCTATCAGTTGATGGTGATATACAGGCTGAGATGGACATGGAAGAGAGAGAGAGGATCTCTACCTCTTACTGTAACTCACAGTCACTCTCAGTGTGTTCTGCAGAACCATGGTACTCTGTCTGATCATCTGGCTGGTTCTTGCTGTACTGTGCTTCGGTATGATGGAACTTTTTATCTCGTTGGTTTATCTAATCTTTAACTAATTTTAACTTAGTTTTTATAATTTCTATAATCTTTCAAAATATCACTCAGTCTTTCTTTTTCCCCCAGAGTGCACAGGAGACCATGTTCAACAGCAACCAGGAGGTGTGATTGCTACAGAAGGAGGACTGGTAACACTGAGTTGTCAATATAACACCAGTGCTAATAATGCATATCTATATTGGTACAAACAAGAAGCAAATGATTTCCCTAAACATATGCTGAGCCGTTATTCTTTTGGATCTGGAGAAAATGCTACAGGGTTCAAGGAGAGGTTTGATGCAAGTCTAAATGCCAAGACACAATCAGTCCCCTTGATGATCTGGAGGGTGCAGCTATCTGACTCTGCTGTGTACTATTGTGCTCTGAAGCCCACAGTGACAGGAAACGTGGGCACGCTGTACTAAAACTTGAAGAAAAAAAACTGACATCTCCTAGACATCCCTCATTTTGAATTTCATCATTACCTCTATAGACAAACATACATACACAGAAAATGAACCATGAAAGATTTTCAATAAACAATAAAAAAATTAAAAGATTAAAATGTTGAATGGAAAAGTGACAGAAACTCATTACGTCTATCTGATTGTGTAGCTGATTTATACTTCAGATTTTAGTTTTAAATAGGAAAACAAAATAAACTGTGAATGAATGAACACCTCATGTTAAATAAATGAATATCTTGCATTTCTTGTATCAAACAATGTTTTCCCCTATGACATCACTGTAGTCAGTTCAGGTCAGGTCCTTCTGCCAACTCTGTTGCAATAAAATCAAGAAAATAAATGGGTATAAATAACACAGTTTTGTCCAATATCCAATAGAGGGAGACTAAGGTAATCATATTTCAGTGCAGCCCTGCATTTTGAGTCTGCTGTTACTTCTGCTCATCTGAAAACTCTCTGTATTTTGGGGTGGGGCTTCAAAGGTTTGAGAAGAGACAGTCCATTCAAAACTAGAAGGAGGAGGATGTTTTTTTAGAATAAACAAATCTTGCTGTGCTGTGTGTTATCATTTTAACTTCCAGTTTCAGCCACAATGTCAATCCCCACATTTATTTTGCTTTTAGTACATGCGTGTAAGTCATCTACTATGATCAGTACATATTTTATGGTTTTATGTTGAATCTAAACTAAGTGTTGATGCGTTGAAAATATATCTATAACAGAGTAATAATAGAAGAATAACATATTGTGCATCTCTTGCAGGTGACAGTAATGGTCAGACCATTGAGCCAACCAGAGAGGAGGAGTATGCCCCAGCAGGTAGCAATATTACACTTTCATGGACCTACTCATCTGCAGTCTCTCTTCAATGGTATCTCCAGGACCCTGGATCTGCTCCTCAGTATATCCTGCTTATCCTGCATGGTGTTGGGTCTTCATCACGGGCTCCAGGTCTGGATCCTCGACTGTCAGTCAAACTAAATGATGAGAAGAACTGTGTGGATCTGGAGACTCTGCTATGTACTACTGTGGACTGACACACACAATGAAAGGAAACCAACAAACGCTGTACAAACACCTAACCTGACACATTCTATAGTTACATGACATGACCGACAGGAGATGTTACATCTCATGGTTTTTCTTTTTAACAGGAAACCTAGTGGGTGGGTTTAAAAACCTATGTAAAGAGGAGGAGCAACATTGTATATGCCTATTTATCATTTCAAAGTCATAGCAGTGTTTTGGCTATGCTGTTTTCTAAATAACTCATTCATGTCTGATCTGTAACATAGACCATGATGCTACTCTGTTATATTCTATTGATTTCAGCCCTTGTAGTTGATACTTTAGAGGGTAGCAGAGTTAAGCTCTCCAGTAACTATGCAGTAAAAGCACATTTTCTGATGTTTTACAGACAGTTCGTTGGATCAGCACCCCAATTCCTCCTCTACACTACAGTCACCTCAAAACCATCTGTATTTAGAGCTCAACCTGAAGACTGTAAGGGTTGGTGTGAGGTGTGACCCAGGTGCGGTGCAGGATAGACAGTAGGCAGTAGGCAGAGATGGTGAAACAAGGATCTTTCCTGGTGGTCCAGAAGCCTGTATACAAAATAACGGGCTTATCACGATAAAAGAAAGGTGGAGCAAATAAGTCTCCAAAAACAGGCTGACAGCCAAAATAAGAAATACTAACTATGATTGAAACAACTAAAGAAACAGTGAGAACACTTCTCTAGTACCTGTACATACGTCTTCGATCATACACGGATTAGTACTGCTGGGCATCGAAAAACTAACAGAGAAAACTGAGCAAGGGAACACAGGGAAGTGAGGGCATAAATACACAGGGGACACCAATAGGATCCTGATTAGTCCAGACTGTGTGTGAGGAGGTGCCTTAGGTTGTCGGAGGAGGACACCTAATGGATCGCTCCGGAACTGCGACCCCCTACTGTAACAACTCATCCCAAACCATCTCAATTGGGTTGAGGTCAGGTGATTGTGGAGGCCAGGTCATCTGATGTAGCACTCCATCACTCTCCTTCTTGGTGAAATAGCCCTTCCACAGCCTGGAGGTGTGTTGGGTCATTGTCCTGTTGAAAAACAAATGATAGTCCCACTAAGCCCAAACCAGATGGGATGGTGTATCACTGCAGAATGCTGTGGTAGCCATGCTGGTTAAGTTTGCCTTGAATTCTAAATAAATCACTGACAGTTTCACCAACAATGCACCCCCACACCATCAAACCTCCTCCTCCATGCTTCACGGTGGGAACCACACATGCGGAGATCATCTGTTCACCTACTCTGCATCTCACAAAGACACGGCGGTTGGAACCAAAAATCTCAAATTTGGACTCCAGACCAAAGGACAGATTTCAAGCGGTCTAATGTCCATTGCTCGTGTTTCTTTGCCCAAGCAAGTCTCTTCTTCTTATTGGTGCCCTTTAGTAGTGGTTTCTTTGCAGCAAATCGACCATGAAGGCCTGATTCATGCAGTCTCCTCTGAACAGTTGATGTTGAGATGTGTCTGTTACTTGAACTCTGTGAAGCATTTATTTGGGCTGCTATCTGAGGTGCAGTTAACTCTAATGAACTTATCCTCTGCAGCAGAGGTAACTCTGGGTCTTCCTTTCCTGTGGCGGTCCTCATGAGTGCCAGTTTCATCATAGCGCTTGATGGTTTTTGCGACTGCACTTGAAGAAACTTTCAAAGTTCTTGACATTTTCCGTATTGATTGACCTTCACATCTTAAAGTATTGATGGAACGTCGTTTCTCTTTGCTTATTTGAGCTGTTCTTGCCATAATATGGACTTTGTCTTTTACCAAATAGGGCTATCTTCTGTATACCACCCCTACCTTGTCACAACACAACTGATTGGCTCAAATGCATTAAGAAGGAAAGAAATTCCACAAATTAACTTTTAAGAAGGCACACCTGTTAATTGAAATGCATTCCAGGTGACTACCTGTCATCAAGGCAAAGGGTGGCTCTGAAGACTTCCACTGCTGAAGAGACAGACTCTGCTATGTACTGCTGTAACATAAACACCACAGTGACAGGAAACTCAGAAACCTGTCAAGAACCATGGGGGGAAACAGACATCCTGGTATGATATACATAAGTAACATAAGGGGAGGGACTTATGGTAAATGAGGGGCTGAACAGCAGTATAGAAACATAAAAACTGGATGAAACTTTCAGAGACTGCTTAGATCTTTCTGTCAGTTTGTCTCTGTTCATCTAATATGGTGTTGTTTTATTCAGTCTTGTTCCTGACCATATTTATTGGTAAGCAATACAATACAATACACTACATTTCAATTCAATTCAATTCAATTCAATAAAATGCATTGCCGTAATTGTACATTGAAATAATTTCAATTTCAAATACATTGTCATTAACAAGTAAATGTATGTGTAATAAAACAATTATCTATGCAGGTGTCAGTTATGAGGACCTCACTCCACTCAAGAAAGAAGAGTATTGTTTAGAGGGAACCCCTGTTACCCTGTCTTACAACTACTCCAGAACAGCTACTGGTGGAGATGAATTATATTGGTATCATCAAGACACAGCACAAAGGCCAAAGTTCCTCCTGTACATCTCAGGTTCAGGGTTTGTAAAGAAAGCAGATCCTCTGAACACTCAAATATCTGCAAAATTGAATGAAGAGAAAAACCGTTTGGATCTGGAGATCTCCTCTGCTGAAGTGTCAGACTCTGCTCTGTACTACTGTGCTGTGAGGCCCACAGTGAAAGGAAACCTAAACACACTGTACAAAAACCTCAGCAGGGTCCATATCAGCAGGAATTTATTCGGTTTCTGTTTAAACTTGTGTCTAACCCTTACTTTTTAGACATCAAATCACTAATAAATGCTATTAATGTCTCATGTAAATAAAGTTTATGATTTGAAATGTTTCAGCTGTCCTTAATTTGATTTATACATCAAATCAAATCAAAATGTATTCGTCACATGCGCCAAATACAACAGGTGTAGACTTTACCGTGAAATGCTTACTTATAAGCCCTTAACCAGCAATGCAGTTCAAGAAAAAATAACACAATAAAATAACAATAACGAGGCTATATACAGGGGATACCGGTACCTAGTCAATGTGCGGGCAAACCTTTTGAGGATCTGGGGACCCATGCCAAATCTTTTCAGTATCCATATTTTGATGCATATTCATATTCTGCTACAGTCAGGCCTTTTAACCACATCATATACATACAATATGCATACATTATGTAACATCATTGTTCTCAACATGAACCTGCTCAGTGGTTTGGTCCTCTGGTGGTAAATCCATTTACTTATTTTCTGTTGCCCACTACACCTTCTGAAGGATGGGTTGATCAGGCCCAAGTGAGCCAGGTGGCTCGTCCACTGCTTCTCACTATTCAGCCACAACCACTGAGATGTTCTCTCTGCCTCCTGATCAGTTACAGTATATGACAGATCTACTTTGTCTGTACTCCTCCTATAGACTGCCCTCCACAGTTATGAAGTCCAGTGACAAGGTTTTTCTATGTCTAATAATGATACAATAGTTATATCTAGTGTTCAACATTCTGCCCAATAAGGTGAAACCTTGACATTGCTTGTATTTTCAAGAGTCATTTAAAAGTGAGAGTCAATAGCTGTCAGTGGAGACTCATCAATTAGCTGCTATTCCTTTAAATGATGCATGCAGCAGGTCAACACTTAACAGATGTCTGTGTTGTATAATGTCCCCACCAAACAAAATATATATTCATTATGTTTTAACCCTTAGTCACATCTTCTGTTCTGGGGATGCCATTGCCCATCATTTGCGTTAATGTGCACTGCGATGACAGGAATGATCTCACTTTTTGCACATCATTTCAACCCAAAAAATCAATGTGATGACGCTGAATAAATGTGGAAAACTGATTGGGTTTCCAAAAAGTCATCAACGTAAGGGCATTTCCTCTTTTTGTTTTTACCAAACTTTTAGAACCTAAATCCAATGACATGGTGACATTTCTTGTTGGTTTCATGTTGAATTCACGGTTATTTCACAACTGTAGACATTGAACTGATGTCTGTGAGGTTATGAACATTGTTGCATCCTGTGTCAATCATTGGTATCAATCATAAAACCAATCATCAGTTGACGTGACTACTGTTTTAAATATATCATTTAGTAAAGATAACTATTTTTGACATTGGGCAGCATAGCCCATGTTTATATTGGACTGGTTCATAGGCTACTGTGGTATGTGCCTTTCTTTCTGATTTTGTTGCAAACCCTTACTAGACATATGATTTGATTTGATTTGTCAGATTTAGCCTGAACAGAAAATATATTTCTCCAAGGCCCATAACAACTGCCCAATTATATAATTTGTAAATGATTTGGAGAAGAGGATAACATTCTATAAAAAAAAAAGATCATGGTTCTAAATACAGAAAATGTCAAAAGGAATCCCTTTGGCAGTTCAACAAATCAATGAAATATACAAAAAGCTCCTCCCCTACTGCAGAGCCCCACAATTATGAGACTTTTCAGCTACAGTGGATGGAACATAAAGTCTATAACAGTCTATTCTTCCTCTATACATTAATCATAATGGAACATTGTCTTAGGAATACTGTACTTATCCTGGCTGCATGCTATTTTGGTACGTTATAGTGCTTCTCCTTTCTACATTATCATTCTCTGAACCTTAGCCTATTATGTACTATAAAACCCCACATTTATTTTTTTCATATTGCAAAGGTGAAGAGGCTGTTGACCAGCAGAGTGGACATGTTACTGCCCTTGAAGGAGGACTGGTAACACTCAGCTGTAACTACACTACTAGCAGTTGATGGGTTCTGACTTCTAAACTTGAAATATTGTTAATCATCAGGTATCCTATGGAAGTGAGAAGGGCCACAGTCTGGTTTCTACACCAGAAGTTAATGGTTATCTGTAGGAGGAATGTATATGGTGGGGTCAATTAAGGTTGGATATGAGCCAGGGACTTGGAATGTACTGAATAAAGGAAAGGCAATCACATGGTTGAAGTCACTGATAAGGGTGGAGAGCTGTGGATTAGTGAGGAATGGGGGCCGAGGTCAGGTCATGTCACATTAAGGGAGAAGGAACCGTTTATTACCCACATCACTTAACTTCCTGTCTAGCAATAAAGATGTAATGTTTAGAGGGAAGGAGGAGTTCTCCTAAATTGGAATCTATATATTTGTGTTGGTGGGAAAATGTCAGTTCAGCTGTCTGACCCTTGGGTGAATAAACTTGGTTTGAGCTTTTATTAAGTTGTCCGTGAGTTTTTACTCTGGTTATTTAAAACCTAACATATTTTACATTTACATTTTAGTCATTTAGCTGACGCTCTTATCCAGAGCGACTTACAGTTAGTGAGTGCAAATATTATTTTTATTTTTATTTTTTCATACTGGCCCCCCGTGGGAATCGAACCCACAACCCTGGCGTTGCAAACGCCATGCTCTACCAACTGAGCTACATCCCTGCCGGCCATTCCCTCCCCTACACTGGACGACGCTGGGCCAATTGTGCGCCGCCCCATGGGTCTCCCGGTCGCGGCCGGCTACGACAGAGCCTGGTCTCTTCTGGTACATCCAGTTAACTAGGGAAACTCCTCAGTATGTCCTGAGAAGAGATCATTATTCAGAAGGGAGTGATAGTGATGTGTTCAAGAAGCGGTTTGATTCCAGGATGAATTTCACATCTAGCTCTGTCCCCTTGACGATCCAGAGGTTGCAGGTGTCTGTCTCTGCTGTGCACTACTGTGCTCTGATGCCCACTGTGACAACAAGATATACAGCCCCCTTACAAAACATACTGAGCTACACAATGACAATACACCTGTCTGGACAGTTTACAATACCACTTTGAAATTGACACAGTAACCTTCTCACTACCTTCCTGATACTACCAAGACTAGTGGTAGCAGATGATGATAGTCATAGTGATGATGATGATGATGATGATGATGATGATGATGATGATGACTATGCAGTAAGTAATTTTTGATGCCAATAAAGCTCCTTCTTCCTCTTCAGCTCTAAATATAGATCTAAGAGACATTAAAATGATATTTCAATTAGAAAATAGGTGACAAAACCAATACTCAGTATTGTGAACAGAGTAATGTAAAAGCCAGCATCAACCACAAGGGGGCCAAAGTACCAAGTGAGCGTTGCTTTCTCCTCTGAAATGACTTGTCTATTTGAACATCCCCTCTGTGCTGTGCTGCATGGTCTAGGCCTGTGCTGCTACAAATACAGGAAACAAGAGAGCACAAACTTCATACAATCTAACATTTGTTTTTGCTCTTGCTCTTGCTATGGTATCAGAATACAGCCAACAGTAGCTGATGTTTGCTCTTCAGTGTAAGATTGCCATGCAGAAATGTCAATTTCTCCTTGTGGCCTCAGGTAAATGTCTATGAAATATTGAGCACCTCACTTTTATCATTTTAGCATTACTAGAATAGAAAATGATGCTGTTACCATTACATGATATGTTACAGTGAGACAGAATGTAATGTACAGTATTATCATTTTGATTTTATTGTTCTATTTCTGTGTACAGTGGTAATACTGCATTTACTGCATTATCTTTACAGAACTGATTACTGGGGATCACATTACTCCTGTAAAGTCCAGAGTAATCTGTACAGAAGGAGAATCTGTGACACTGAGTTGCTCATATGATACAAGCAGTGATAATATTCTGCTTTATTGGTACCAGCAGTACCCTAAACAGGCTCCTCACTTTCTATTGGTTAAGGTGCCACATAAAGTGCCAGTTAATATTCCTCTGATAGTTGATATAAATCCACAAAGTATAGCATCTGAACTGGTCATAAAACATCTAACCCTGGCAAACACTGCTCTCTACTACTGTGCTTTTGGGAAAGCACGCACATTGCTTCCATTTTCTTTTTTCTTGTTTGATCCTTCTATCTTGGCGGAAACTGTTTCCAGACCACAATTATATATTAGATATGTTTTTAGGCTACCAGAGTGATTGTGGTTATACCTGTAAATGTCCTCTCTCCTTTCAAGAGTGATTAGTGTCAAGCTTTCCTGCAACTACACAGTATCTGGCGGAGGCAGTGTATTCAGAATCTGCTGAGACAATAGTTACTGCAGAACCACCGTATTCTTGACTGTCAGTTAACGTTAACAAAGTGGCCGAACGTGTGGATCTGAAGATCTCCTCTGATGAAGTGACATAATCTGCTCTGTACTACTGTGCTCTGAGGCCCACAGTGACAGGAAACCCAGAAACACTACAAATACTTTCCTGTAATGCATGAAAGCATGTACACCATCTTAAGAAGTATGGAGAACTGATGGCAAACACACTGAAGAGAAAATATGCCCCTAAGACTCCCTCCAACATCAAGCAGAGCACATTACTGAAAAAATAAAAAATTATGTATGCACTCACTAACTGTAGGTCGCTCTGGATAAGAGCGTCTGCTAAATGACTAAAATGTAAAATGTAAATGTAATAAAGCCCTACTAGTAAACACTATTTAACAGGCAAGCAGCTGCATACAAATTATTAGAGATCATGTTCATGATTATCCATCAATTATCATATTTGTTAATCACAGATTATAATGTTGATATAATGTGGGTGCATTTACTGAATAGGAGGAGCTAAGATGAGAGGTGGAAAGATGATTCTCCTCTAACTGACTGGAACAGTGGGATATCTTCAGTTCTGCCTCCTGATAACACACTGTTACACCCATCACCATGTTTCTCTACCCAGTGTTTCTCCTCTCTGCACTTGTTAGTGAGTATTAGTCTTACATTACATACTTTTAGTTTATTCAAGGTAACTGTCAAGTGTCATTTGAAAATAGCACTTCCTAGAAGAAATGTAAATTACTGATTATCTTTTCACTTGTAATGAATATGACACAGAGTATGTAATAATTTATCATGAACTAAAAATGTTTATCTAAACTTAACATTATTACAGGAGGAAGTTATGAAAATGACATAAAACCAACTTCAGAGACAGAACATGGCATGGAGGGAAGCAGTGTTACACTGTCTTGCAACTACTCTGGCTCAGTAGACTATCTTCAATGGTATCGTCAATATCCCAGATCAGCACCCCAATTCCTCCTCTACACTACAGTCTCCTCAAACCCTGCTGTATTTAAAGCTAAACCTGAAGACCCTCGACTCTCTGTTAATCTGAATGAAGAGAGAACCCGTGTGGATCTGGAGATCTCCTCTGCTGAAGTGACAGACTCTGCTCTGTACTACTGCGCTCTGCTGCCCACAGTGACAGGAAACCCAGAAACACTGTACAAAAACCTGACAGCTCATGATAAACTCCTCTTATGCGTCTTTTAGGGCAGGGGTGAGCAGTAGCGATTTTGTATTTAAATCTTGGTGGGGCAAACTAAAAAAAAACATGTCTAGATGCATGCCAGCAAAGCCACTATACTACACAACACTAAACAATACACTTATTGCACTATAACAGTGACAAACGGTGCCCACAAACTGTTAGGGCCTACATAAAACTGTCCCAACAGAAGTGCCAACACCTTACCACTGCTACACCTGACTATCAGCGGAGCCTTGTCTGGCAGCGAAACAGTTTATTCAGCCTCATTTACTGCCTTTAAAAAACACATAGCTGATATGGCTGACTTTTTTTAAAATGTGGTTTCTACTAACAATTGAGATGTACAAACTATGGCATAAGGGAAAGATGAGCGGATAAGAGGCAATCATTAATTTCGATTAAGACATTCATGAGCGAGCTAAGACCGATGTAGTCAATATAACTATTTGTTATATTGACTACATCTGTGACAAGATGGCGTATTGAACACACAGCGGTGCGAATCACCTCAAGAGAAAAATGTAATATTCAATATCAGTAAGTTAAGACTAAATGTTAGCACTTCATATACTCGTGGGTAATAACATTCAATCTGGATAATAACACAAAACAAATCATAAGGCTAGAGAAATGTATCGACAAATATTACAACAAAAAGCAACACTCAAACATAACGGAGGATAAACGAGGAGAATCAATCTCCAAAAGAAAACGCGACTCCTCGACGGATACAGATGATTTATGCTTTTCACCACTGGGACTGGTAAGTGTGGAAGTCGATAAATGACAAACTGGGCATACTAGAGTTTGTCAGTAAGGATGTAAAGGAGTTGAAGGCGAGTCTTGAAATGAGTGACGAAAAAGCTGCGATTAAAACCCTTTGTCACATATTCTGTTCTGGTGATGCCATTGCCCATCATTTACATTAATGTGCACTGCGATGACAGGAATGATCCCGCTTTTTCCATATCATTGCAACCTCAGGCTACCGAGTGGCACAGCGGTCTAAGGCACTGCATCTCAGTGCTTGAGGCGTAACTACAGACCCCCTGGTTTGATTCCAGGCTGTATCACAACCAGCCGTGATTGGGAGTCCCATAGGGCGGCGCCGGGTTTGGCCGGTGTAGGCCGTCATTGTAAATAATAATTTGTTCTTAACTGACTAAAAATGTGGGATATATAAAAATAAAAATAAAATCAGTGTGATGACGATGAATAAATGTGGAAAACTGATTGGGTTTTCAAAAAGTCATCAACGTAAGGGCATTTCCTCTTTTTGTTTTTACCAAACTTTTCGAACCTAAATCCAATGACATGGTGACATTTGTTGTTGGTTTCACGGTTGGTTTCCAATATAGACCTTGACTACTGTTTTAAATATATAATTTAGTAAAGATAACTCTTTGTGACATCGGGCGGCATAGCCCAGGTCTATATTGGACTGGTTCATAGGCTACTGTGGTCTGTGCCTTTCTTTCTGATTTTGTTGCAAACCCTTACTAGACATATGATTTGATTTGATATGTCAGATTTGGCCTGAACAGAAAATATATTTCTCCAAGGCCCATAACAACTGCCCAATTATAATTTGTAAATGATTTGGAGAAGATGATAACATTCTGTAAAATAAAAATATAATGGTTCTAAATACAGAACATGTAAAAAGGAATCCCTTTGGAAGGTCAACAAATCAATGAAATATACAATAAGCTCCTCCCCTACTGCAGAGCCCCACAATTATGAGACTTCTAGCCTATTATGTACTATAAAACCCCACTTTTTTTTTTTTCATATTGCAAAGGTGGAGAGGCTGTTGACCAGCAGAGTGGACATGTTACTGCCCTTGAGGGATGACTGGTAACACTCAGCTGTAACTACACTACTAGCAGTTGATGGGTTCTGACTTCTAATCTTGAAGTATTGTTAATCATCAGGTATCCTATGGAAGTGAGAAGGGCCACAGTCTGGTTTCTACACTAGAAGTTAATGGTTATCTGTAGAAGGAATGTATATGGTGGGGTCAATTAAGGTTGGATATGAGCCAGGGACTTGGAATGTACTGAGTAAAGAAAGGCAATCACATGGTTGAGGTCACTGATAAGGGTGGAGAGCTGTGGATTAGTGAGGAATGGGGGCCGAGGTCAGGTCATGTCACATTAAGGGAGAAGGAACCGTTTATTACCCACATCACTTAACTTCCTGTCTAGCAATAAATATGTAATGTTTAGAGGGAAGGAGGAGTTCTCCTAAATTGGAGTCTATATATTTGTGTTGGTGGGAACATGTCTTTGTCAGTTCAGCTGTCTGAACCTTTGGGTGAATAAACTTGGTTTGAGCTTTCATTAAGTTGTCAGTGAGTTTTTACTCTGGTTATTTAGAACCTAACACAGTACGACATCTCCTGATCTCTTCTGGTACATCCAGTTAACTAGGGACTCTCCTCAGTATGTCCTGAGAAGAGATCGTTATTCAGAAGAGAGCAATAGTGATGAGTTCAAGAAGAAGTTTGATTACAGGCTGAATTTCACATCTAGCTCTGTCCCCTTGACGATCCAGAGGTTGCAGCCGTCTTACTCTACTTTGTACTACTGTGCTCTGAGGTCCACTGTGACAACAGGAGATTCAGTCACTGCACAAAAACTCAGGGTAGAGTGTTGTTCAGACAATGTCACAAGCTTCTCAATGTTTGATGATACACTGAAAGAGAAGGAGACAATGATTTCATATCTAGCTCTGTCCCCTTGACGATCCAGAGGGTGCAGCTGTCTGACTCTGCTGTGTACTACTGTGCTCTGAGGCCCACTGTGACAACAGGATATACAGCCCCCTTACAAAAACATACTGAGCTACACCTGTCTGTACAGTATACAACAACACTTCGAAATGGACACAGTAACCTTCTCACTACCTTCCTGATACTACCAAGACTATTTACATTTTAGTCATTTAGCAGACACTCTTATCCAGAGCAACTTACAGTTAATGAGTACATACATTATTGTTTTCATACTGGCCCCCCGTGGGAATCGAACCCACAACCCTGGCATTGCAAACGCCATGCTTTACCAACTGAGCTACATCCCTGCCGGCCATTTCCCACCCTACCCTGGATGACGCCCCATGGGTCTCCCGGTCGCAGCCGGCTACAACAGAGCCTGGATTCGAACCAAGATCTCTAGTGATACAGCTAGCACTGCAATGCAGTGCCTTAGACCACTGCGCCACTCGGGAGGTTAGCAGAGGATGGTAATCATAGTGATGATGATGATGATGATGATTATGCAGTAAGTCATTTTTTATGCCAATAAAGCTCCCTCTTCCAATTCAGCTCTAAATACAGATCTAAGAGACATTAAAATGATATTTCAATTAGAAAATATATATTTTTTTCATATAATTCATCTTTAGGAGACAAAACCAATACTCAGTATTTTGTACAGAGTAATGAAAAAGCCAGCATCAACCACAAAGGGAACACATCACCAAGTGAGTGTTGCTTTCTACTCTGAAATGACTTGTCTATTTGAACATCCCCTCTGTGCTGTGCTGCATGGTCTAGGCCTGTGCTGCTACAAAGACAGGAATCAAGAGAGCACACCAGTTTCTATATTGTAACATCAGTATTTTGTACAGAGTAATGAAAAGCCAGCATCAACCACAAGGGGGCCACATTACCAAGTGAGTGTTGCTTTCTACTCTGAAATGACTTGTCTATTTGAACATCCCCTCTGTGCTGTGCTGCATGGTCTAGGCCTGTGCTGCCACAAATCAAATCAAATACATTTTTATTTTGTCACATACCCGTGTTTAGCAGATGTTATAGCGGGTGTAGCGAAATGCTTGTGCTTCTAGCTCCGACAGTGCAGAAATATCTAACAAGTAATATCTAACAATTTCACAACAAATAAAATATACAAGCATGACAGAGCGGCATGGACTAAGATACAGTAGAATATTATAAAATAGAATGCAGTATATACATATGAGATGAGTAGTGCAAGATATGTAAATATTATTAAAGTGACTGTAAACATTATTAAAGTAACTAGTGTTCCATTTCTTAAAGTGGCCAGTGATTTCAATAGGCAGCAGCAGCCTCTAATGTGCTAATGATGGCTATTTAACAGTCTGATGGCCTTGAGATAGAAGCTGTTTTTCATTCTCTCGGTCCCAGCTTTGATGCACCAGTACTGACCTCGCCTTCTGGATGATAGTGGGGTGAACAGGCAGTGGCTCGGGTGGTTGTCCTTGATGATCTTTTTGGCCTTCCTGTGACATCGAGTGCCGTATGTGTCTTGGAAGGCCGGTAGTTTGCCCCCGATAATGCGTTCGGCAGACCGCATCACCCTCTGGAGAGCCCTGCGGTTGCGGGCGGTGCAGTTGCCGTACCAGGTGGTGATACAGCCCGACAGGATGCTCTCAATTCTGCATCTGTAAAAGTTTGTGAGGTTTTTAGGTGCCAAGCCGAATTTCTTCAGACTCCTGAGGTTGAAAAGGCTCTGTTGCGCCTTCTTCACCACACTGTCTGCGTGGGTGGACCATTTCAGTTTGTCGGTGATGTGTACGCCAAGGAACTTGAAGCTTTCCACCTTCTCCACTGCGGTCCCATCGATGTGGATAGGGGGGTGCACCCTCTGCTGTTTCCTGAAGTCCACGATCATCTCCTTTGTTTTGTTGACGTTGAGTGAGAGGTTATTTTCCTGGCTCCCACAGCCCTCACCTCCTCCCTGTAGGCGATCTTGTCATTGTTGGTAGTCAAGCCTACTACAAAGACAGGAATCAAGAGAGCACCAGCTTCATACAATATAACAATAGTTTTTGCTCTTGCTCTTGCTATGGTATCAGAATACAGCCAACAGTAGCTGAGGTTTGATCTTCAGTGTAAGACTGCCATGCAGAAATGTCTAATTCTCCTTGTGGCCTCAGGTAAATGTCTATTATATATTGAGCACCTCACTTTTAGCATTTATAGCATTACTAGAATAGAAAATGATGCTGTTACCATTACATGATATGTTACAGTGAGACAGAATGTTATGTACAGTATTATCATTTGGATTTTATTGTTCTATTTCTGTATACAGTAGTAATACTGCATTTACTGCATTATCTTTCCAGAACTGATTACTGGGGATCACATTACTCCTGTAAATCCCAGAGTAATCTGTACAGAAGGAGCATCTGTGACACTGAGTTGCTCATATGATACAAGCAGTGATAATATTCTGCTTTATTGGTACCAGCAGTACCCTAACCAGGCTCCTCACTTTCTATTGGTTAAGGTGCCACATAAAGTACCAGTTAACATTCCTCTGATAGTTGATATAAATCCACAACGTATAGCATCTGAACTGGTTATAAAACATCTAACCCTGGCAGACACTGCTCTCTACTACTGTGCTTTTGGGAAAGCACGCACATTGCTTCCATTTTTTATTTTTCTTGTTTGATCCTTCTATCTTGGCGGAAACTGTTTCCAGACCACAATTATATATTAGATACACTCTAGATGTTTTTAGGCTACCAGAGTGACTGTGGTTATACCTGTTAATGTCCTCTCTACTTTCAAGTCTATCAGCAGCAGCACTAGTGTAGAAAAAGAAACTATATTTAACCTCTGTAGTGTAAGTGACATTGGCAGGTCTGTCAGCTAATGTGACACACAGTGACACACAGAGGAACACTTCAGAGGAGACTGAATGCATGCAAACGTCAGTCTGCAGGAGTTAGTTACGGGGATGGAATTTTCTCCAACAGTCTTGAGGAGGATATGATATATGGTGGCAGTGTCAAGCTTTCCTGCAACTACACAGTATCTGGTGGAGGCAGTGTATTCAGAATCTGCTGAGACAATAGTTACTGCAGAACCACCGTATTCTTAACTGTCACTGTAATGTATTTGTCATCTTGCTCAGTTGTACACCGGGGCCTCACACTCCTCTTTCTATTCTGGTTAGAGCAAGTTTCCGCTGTTCTGTGAAGGGAGTAGTACACAGCGTTGTACGAGATCTTCAGTTTCTTGGCAATTTCTTGCATAGAATAGCCTTCATTTCTCAGAACAAGAATAGACTGATGAGTTTCAGAAGAAAGTTATTTGTTTCTGGCCATTTTGATTCTGTAATCGAACCCACAATTGCTGATGCTCCAGATACACAACTAGTCTCAAGAAGGCCAGTTTTATTGCTTCTTTAATCAGCACAACAGTTTTCAGCTGTGCTAACATAATTGCTAAAGGGTTTTCTAATGATCAATTAGCCTTTTAAAATGATAAACTTGGATTAGCAAACACAGCGTGCCATTGGAACACAGGACTGAGGGTTGCTGATAATGGGCCTCTGTACACCTATGTAGATATTCCATTAAAAATCAGCTGTTTCCAGCTACAATAGCCATTTACAACATGTCTACACTGTATTTTTTATCAATTTGATGTAATTTTAATGGACAAAAAAATTGCTTTTCTTTTGAAAACAAGGACATTTCTTAGTGAACCCAAACTTTTGAACGGTAGTGTATATAGTATGTATAAGCTGGAAGTAAAGGCCTAAGCGTTATTGTTCACCAGTTTACTGCAATAAGGGAAGGGGTGGTGGGGTTGGAAAGTAATAAAGGGAAAGATATGTATACATATGTATGTAGACATATTTATATGTATGTATGTGTATATGTATGTGTATATGTATGTGTATGTATGTATATGTATATGTATATATATATATATATATATATATATATATATACATATATATTTGCGAGAAAAAAAACAATTACAATTACATTGATGGAAGTTACAATCTATCTGCAATATTAAAGCTGTTGAGATGTACAAACTATGGCATAAGAGGACGACGAGTGGATAAGAGGCAATCTGTAATTTCGATTAAGACATTAATGAGCGAGCTAGGACAGACATAGTCAATATAACTATTTGTTCAGCACTTTTGAAATGTACAGCGGCAGAATTCAGAACATGGGCCATTCTTACAGTATTCTCCCTGTTCACCAAGTCAGAACCGTTGGATAAATAAAGGGGGCATATAAGCAGACGATGAAAGCTCTTACAATATTCGGTGATGACATTCCTCTAAAACAGGCTGTAGGCTACATGTGCACCACCAAGTCAGTACAGCACATGGACTGCTAACAGCTTACTACACAACTTTCTTACAGTAGACATATCTCCCTGGCATATTACATCATTTATGCAGCATCATACAATACATTTTTGGACTCACCTTTTTGTGCTATGCTCACTTGAACAGGAAGGTGGCACGACGGTCCTTCGTGTGCAAATTTTGTCATCAAACTTTGTCATCAAAGTCTGGCATTCTCTGGATTTATGGTGATTTCAAGACAACTGGGAACTCTGAAAAAAAACGAGGTTGAATCACGATGGCAGTGATCTTCAGGTCTGAGCTCTACAAAGAGGCCCGAGTTCCCGACTTGCAATTACGAGTTGGATGATTGTTCAAAACATATTTTCCCTGTTGGAGCTCGTTTCTTCCCGAGTTCCCAGTAGTGTTGAACTCACTGAAGTCCGAGATTTCCATGTTCCCAGTTTCCAGATGTTTTGAGCGTTTTGACAGCATTGCCAATGTTGAATGTTCATCCTTTTAAGCTTGGAAAAGAGACCCTTAAACCCAGACTTGTACCACACACCCTCCCCACTGAATAGCAGGGGAAGCAAAATATTGATTGGTTTGCGACTCTTGCAGTTAACCACTGATTCCTTCCAAACCACTTTCCAACTTGTTGTGTAATGTTTATGTCCAATGGCCGATGAGCACTGACACGTTTTATCTATAATTTATCTTCATATGACAAGGATTGAAAAGGATTTGCCAGTAGATTGTCGACTTGATTCATGATGATGACTGCTAGCTTGCTAGCTAAGATTTTGAAAGTATGATGTTGATATGATCAGTCCAATCAAAGCTACGGTAGATATAATGTGATTTGACGTCATTTTATCTGTGGCCAATGACCTTGAGCCTTCTTGGATGGGCACTTCTGATATAACTCTATAGCAGCACCCAAGGGGCTTGAATTTTCGAGCTCTACTCGTAGATTTTGTGGTGACGTAGTGTCCCAATGAGCGACAGAATACTGAGCCAATCATGGCGCAACTAGATAACATTACCAACCCCTACGCTCCGTATTTTCCGCTGGCTGCACCACCACCACAGAAAGAACTGAGCTAGGCTGAAACACCTGCATTTTGGAGCTGCCTTACTCAAGAAAGCAAAAAAGAGACCGTTTGTATGCAGCTTTATTAATTCAAATTTTATTTTTTATTCATCATTGTTTGCTAACTGATATTTGACACATATTAATGCAAGCATAACATGCAAAACAGGCAGAAAATAAATGAATAAACAGGTGGGGCTCAAAACAGGTGAGGCTTACTACTGTAGGTTCATGAAAATAAATAATATCAAATTGTATTTGTCATATGTGCCGAATACAACAGTACCTTACAGTGAAATGGTTACTTACAAGCCCTTAACCAACAATGCAGTTTTAAGAAAAATAAGCGTTAAGTAAAAAATAGATAAGTAAAAAAGAATTAAAGAGCAGCAGTAAAACATCAGCGAGGGCGTACCGGAACAGCGAGGGGGTACCGGAACAGAGTCAATGTGCGGGGGGAACAGGTTAGTCGAGGTAATTGAGGTAATATGTACATGTAGGTAGAGTTAAAGTGACTGTGTTGGACTTCACTCCAGCATATAACCTCAGCTAAAATATAATGATTCTCTACACAGTTATTTTACTTTCTGCACTGACAGGTTAGTCAATTACTGTATTCCTGTCATCATTTTAACTACATTGTTTAGGCTAATGTATAGTTTATCTGTATTATTGGATTTTAGAGTAAATACCAAGATCTTTCCTCATTTCAAATACATCTTCTTTGTGATTTATCCATCACCTCTTAACATTTGCAGGTGACAGTTTTCAACACACCATCCAGCCAAACCAACATGAAGTGTATGGAGAGGAGGGTAGTAATGTTCAGCTTTCCTGCAACTACTCCTCAGCGTACAGTGTACTGTGTTATAAACAGTATCCAGGATCAGCTCCCCAATTCCTCCTCTTCATCCACCATGCCTCTAGGACTGTAGTGAGAGCTAAACCTCCATACTCTCACCTCACTGTTAAACTGAACAAAGAGAAGACCCGTGTGGATCTGGAGATCTCCTCTGCTGAATTGAGAGACTCTGCTCTGTACTACTATGCTGTGTTGTCAACAGTGACACATAACTCTCTGACTCAGCACTCAGTAGAATACAGACCTGTCACCTGTCAGTTAGTTAGAGATTTACATGCATCTGATGTATTTTGTTTGACCACATCAAGGTGAGAATTCAGTGCATAAATAATTTGTAAACTGCTATTAAATGTACATGTAAAATATATTTGTTTCAACATAGTCAGATGGAGGAGCTAGAGTATAAAACTCAGGATTAGATTATGAATCCTCAAGATAAGACATGATACTACCATGAAGATCATAGCCAGTTGATGCTGTGCTTTTCATCAGCAGATGGTGCTTATTCTACACATCCTGCCATCTACAATGTTGTTCTGTTCACTTTTACTCTTCTTTGACTTGATAGGTAAGTAATTACATTTTCATTTAAACTGAGTGTAATTATGTTGAGATGTATTTACTTTAAAAAATCAAAGATTATAAAGATAATGGATGACATAAGGATTCATGTTTAAATAACTTTGAAAACATTTTATCTTTAAACTGAATTTGAAATTAATTAAATCTTCCATATGGGTTTAAAGTAATATATATATATATATATGATATATAATATTATGTTTTACAGGTGTCAGTTCTGAACAGGTAATAACACCCTACACTGATGTAGAAGTGCCTTCAAAAAGTACACCTCTGATGTCACTCTTCAATGGTATCGGCAATATCACAAATCAGCACCACAGTTACTGGTTATGGAGTATGTGGATAGGGCTGTTACGGTGACCGTATTACCACCACACCAGCGGTCACGAGTCATGATGGCAGTAAAATTCCACATGACCGTTTAGTCCCGGTAATTAGGCTTCTCCAAGCTCTCATGCTGCTGATGGTCATTAGTGGCCTACCAAACTTGCTATCTGTCTGGTACTCAGCACTGTATTGTCCATCTAATCACTCTGACATCAATGCAAATGTAATCGAAAATCTAATCAGTCCATGAGCTCATGTTGGGCAACATTTCTATAAGCTATGCAATTGCGTTCGAAAACAGAGTGATTTCCTCTATTAAAAAGAGGATCCCATCAGCTTTCTATAGGTTAGGCCTACTGTCAGTTTGGCACCGATGTGGAGGTGATGAGGAGTCAGGCGCAGGACACAGAGGTTTAGTCCAACAAACTTTACTATAGTAAAGTGAACAATAATCACTACACGACCTCGAAATACAGAGGCGAGAACAGTACGCAACATGCGTAAAACAAAACATGTAGAGCGCAAAACACGCAGCTCAAACGACACGCGGACAACAACACACAATATAACTAACACAAAACAGGGAACTTATAGGACACGTAATTAGGACACAAACAGACACAGGTGTACCAGACAGACCAAAGCAATCAACACACGAAACATACAACGGTGGCAGCTAGTATTCCGGGGACGGCGAACGCTGAAGCCTGCCCGAACCAGGAGGAGGAGCAGCCTCGGCCGAAACCGTGACAGTACCCCCCCCTTGACGCGCGGCTCCAGCCGTGCGCCGACCCCGGTCTCGGGGACGGCCAGGAGGACGCGGACCCGGGCGCGTGGGATGCCCACGGTGGAACTCTGTCAGGAGGGATGGGTCGAGGATGTCCCTCCTAGGCACCCAGCACCGTTCCTCCGGACCGTACCCCTCCCACTCCACGAGATACTGGAGACCACTCCTCCGGCGCCTCGAGTCCAATATAGTCCGGACCCTGTACGCCGGTGCCCCCTCGATGTCCAAAGGGGGTGGAGGGGTCTCTCCTATCTCCTCCTCTTGGAGTGGACCAGCTACCCCCGGCCTGAGAAGAGACACATGGAACGAGGGGTTAATATTTTTGTACTCAATAGGCAGTTGTAATCTGTAACACACCTCGTTCAATCTTCTCAGGACTTTGAAGGGCCCCACAAACCGCCGACCCAGCTTCCGGCAGGGCAGGCGGAGGGGCAGGTTTCGAGTCGAGAGCCAGACTCGATCTCCCGGTGCGTACACCGGCCCCTCACTGCGGTGGCGATCGGCGCTCGCCTTGTGTTGACGGATGGCACGCTGCAGATGGACATGGGCAGCGTCCCACGTCTCCTCCGAGCGCCGAATCCACTCGTCCACTGCAGGGGCCTCGGTCTGGCTCTCGTGCCACGGTGCCAGGACCGGCTGATACCCTAAAATACACTGGAAAGGTGTTAATCCGGTGGAGGAGTGGCGGAGAGAGTTCTGGGCCATCTCTGCCCAGGGGATATACCTCGACCACTCCTCCGGCCGGTCCCGGCAATAGGACCTCAAAAACCTACCCACATCCTGGTTCACACGTTCAACCTGCCCGTTGCTCTCTGGGTGGTACCCCGAGGTAAGGCTAACCGAGACCCCCAGGCGTTCCATGAACGCCCCCCAGACTCTGGAGGTGAACTGGGGACCTCGGTCGGACACAATATCCTCGGGGACCCCATAGTGCCGGAACACGTGGGTAAAGAGGGCCTCGGCGGTCTGTAGGGCAGTAGGGAGACCCGGCAGTGGGAGGAGACGACAGGCCTTAGAAAACCGATCCACAACGACCAAAATGGTGGTATTACCCTGGGAAGGGGGTAGATCGGTCACAAAATCCACCGAGAGGTGGGACCATGGTCGTTGTGGAACGGGCAGAGGATGTAACTTACCCCTGGGCAAATGTCTAGGTGCCTTACACTGGGCACACACCGAGCAGGAGGAGACATAAACCCTCACATCCCTGGCTAACGTTGGCCACCAGTATTTCACGCTAAGGCAGTGCACCGTCCGACCAATACCAGGATGTCCAGAGGAGGGTGATGTATGAGCCCAAGAAATAAGCCGATCACGAACCTCGAGCGGAACGTACGTCCGCCCCACAGGACACTCGGGGGGAGTAGGGTCGGTACGCAGCGCCCGCTCGATTTCCGTATCGACCTCCCATACTACCGGAGCCACCAGACAAGACTCCGGCAGTATGGAAGTAGGCTCAATGGACCTCTCCTCTGTGTCATACTGCCGGGACAGGGCGTCTGCCTTACCGTTCTGGGACCCAGGGATGTATGTGATCTTAAAAACAAACCGGGTCAGGAACATGTTCCACCTAGCCTGACGAGGGTTCAATCTCCTAGCTGCCCGGATGTACTCCAGGTTACGGTGATCAGTCAGAATGAGGAAAGGGTGTTGAGCCCCCTCAAGCCAATGCCTCCACACCTTTAGGGCCTGGACTACAGCTAACAGCTCCCTGTCCCCAACGTCATAATTGCGCTCCGCCGAGCTGAGCTTCTTAGAGTAGAATGCACAGGGGCGGAGCTTAGGTGGCGTGCCGGACCGTTGTGACAGGACTGCCCCAATACCGGTCTCGGACGCGTCCACCTCTACTTGGAAAGGCAAAGAGGGATCCGGATGCGCCAGCACCGGGGCCGAGACGAACAGGTTCTTCAGCTTGACAAATGCCCTGTCCGCCTCAGCTGACCACCGCAAGCGCACCGGACCCCCCTTTAGCAGGGACGTAATGGGAGCTGCAACCTGTCCAAAACCCCGGATAAACCTCCGGTAGTAATTAGCAAAACCCAAGAACCGCTGCACCTCTTTTACGGTGGTTGGAGTTTGCCAATTACGCACAGCCGCTACCCGATCTACCTCTATCTCCACGCCAGACGCGGACAACCGATAACCCAAAAAGGAGACGGACTCCTGGAAGAACAGGCATTTCTCTGCCTTGACATACAAGTCATGCTCCAACAGTCGTCTCAATACTCGGCGCACCTGGGCTACATGCTCGGCTCGTGTAGAAGAATACACTAGAATGTCGTCAATGTACACCACTACACCCTGCCCATGCATGTCCCGGAAAATCTCGTCAACAAAGGATTGGAAGACTGAAGGAGCATTCATTAACCCGTATGGCATGACGAGATACTCGTAATGACCCGAGGTGGTGCTAAATGCTGTTTTCCATTCATCCCCCTCCCTAATGCGCACCAAATTGTACGCGCTCCTGAGATCCAACTTTGTGAAGAACCGCGCTCCGCGTAATGACTCCGTCATCGTCGCAATCAGTGGAAGTGGGTAACTGTATTTTACTGTGATCTGATTGAGACTACGGTAATCAATACACGGGCGCAATCCCCCGTCCTTCTTCTTCACAAAGAAGAAACTCGAGGAGACCGGAGAAGTAGAGGACCGTATGTATCCCTGTGCCAAGGACTCGGCTATGTAAGTCTCCATAGCCGCAGTTTCCTCTTGAGACAGGGGATACACATGACTCCTGGGAAGAGCTGCTCCGGTCTGGAGATTTATCGCACAGTCCCCCTGTCTATGAGGAGGTAGCCGTGCTGCCCTCGATTTGCTAAACGCTAGTGCTAAATCCTCATACTCGGGGGGAATGCGCAGTGCGGGCACTTGGTTCGGACTCTCTACCGAGGTCGCCCCTATGGAAACACCTAGACATCTCCCTACACACTGGGCAGACCACTCCATAAGAGCCCTCTGTTGCCACGCTATGGTAGGATCGTGGGTGCTTAACCAGGGAAGCCCCAACACCACTGGGTACGCAGGAGAGTCAATCAGATAGAACTGAATGATTTCCTCATGACCCCCCTGCGTCGTCATCGTCAGCGGTGCTGTGACATCCCTGATCAGACCCGACCCCAACGGCCGGCTGTCTAATGCGTGGACAGGGAATGGAACTTCTACCGGCCGAAGGGGAATTCCTAACCTAGCACAAAATGCCCGATCAATAAAGTTCCCAGCTGCGCCTGAATCTACTAGCGCCTTATGCTGGGAATGAGGTGCCACCTGTGGAAAACGCACAGGAATACTCATGTGACCAACAGAGAGCTCTGGGTAAGTGGGGCGCCTACTCACCTGAAATGACTCCCCAGTGCGTGACCTGTTGTCCCCTCTCTCAGAAGACCCTCCCCAGCACCTGGCCGCGGTGTGTCCTCCACGGCCACAGTTGGTGCAGGGGGTGGCCCCCCTCGGGTTCTCCCTCCTCCTCTCTCTAGCGCCAGCACCCCCGAGCTCCATAGGAATTGGCTCGGAGGTGCTGGAGGATGTAATGGACGACCCCCACTCGGGACGTCCGCGGGTG